GTGTGTGTGTGTGTGTGTGTGTGTGTGTGTGTGTGTGTGTGTGTGTGATGGGAGTATGTGGTATGTGGTTTAAAGCCAGCCATTGTTTATTCTGCATATCCTTCTCAGCATTCTTATTAACATTGTCATTTTATGCATAGTGGCCATTTTGTACAAAGAGAACTCTTCTATATTCTTTGGGCTAACAGAAACTAATTTCTGACATGGTTGTATAATAAGCAAAAAAATAAACAAATTATTTTAATTTCTGTATTGTTTTTACTGGTAAGAACCTGCTGGATTTGGCCAACCATGGTTAGTTGGCCATCTAGTGCATAATGTGAAACCTGTAATGATTGGGTAAATAATTTCTATGGACTAAAAATACCTGAGTTCAAGAATCTATCATTTATTACCTCTTTAACTTGAACAAGTTATTGAAACTTTTGGATCACTGGTGACCTCATGTTTTTTAGAAGTAGGTAGAGTTTGGTGTGGTGGCATATATCTGTAATACCACCAACCAAGAGGCAGAGACTTTCTTTTGGTATCTGGCCAGCTTGGTGTGCATAGTAAAACCCAGTCTCCAAAACAAACAAATAGTGGGAAAGTAGTACATTACCTAAGGAAACCTTGAGGATTAAAGTACACAGTATACTGAAAGAAGTTAAGAGCTTAGCATGGCTTCTATCACATGGTATAGGTACATGATACACATTAACACCAAATAAGGAAGAGCCAAGTGAAATAAGTCAATGTAATTGTGTAAAATTAATCAGGGCATAAACAAACATAACTATTGGAAAGTATTCTAAATCCTAAATATTAAAGAGAATTAAACAGCTGCCACCTTGAATTCTGGATTTCACTGGGAATTTTTAGAAGTCTGGTTTTAAAAATCCAAACAAATTATCCAAAGTACACGAACTTTGAATCCAATACTGGTGAAAGAGAGAGCATAATTTAGTGACAGTGGGAAGTTCTTAATCTAATATTGTAGTATGATACGGTAATAGGGATAAGACTAAGAAGGTTGAAATAGAAAATTCTACTGCTATAAGTGGGTATGCAAACATCTGAAAAATCACTCATGTGAATTTTTGAATTCGATGTTAAGATATGATTTTGACCCAAAAACCTATTATCAGGGTGCTTGAGAATCAAGACTATTTCATGTTTTTATTCTATTTTATTATATGAAGTTTGAATTAGGTTTAATTTCACCCTGGTGTGGTAGCACATACCTTTAATCCCAGTACTCAGGGAGTCAGAGTCAAGCAAATCGCTGTGACTTCAGGACTACCCAGTATAAAAAGGAAGTCCAGCACAGCCAAGGCTACACAGAGAAACTCTGTTTCAAAACACACACACACAAAACAAAAAAGTTTTCTTTTCATTATTGTATTTAAAGTGTGAAAAATTAGCATGCCTGTGGGAAAGTAGTACCTTTTAACATACTAGTACAGTGACGTTACATCTTCATTGCCAATGTAGTCGGGGTGAATAGGAGAGGGAATGTTGAAAATTACAAAGCATAGTATAAACTTGAAGTGCATCCAGAAAGCTAACAATATAGAGAAGCTACTAGGTTATAAGGACGTTGCACTTGATGAATTTACCTTAGTTCTTATTTGGCAAGTAATCCTCTAACCTGAACAGTCATAGGTAAGGCAGTTCCTACCTCTGTTCCTGGCTGCCTTAGTAGGTTTTAGATATTTTTAGTGGTCACTTTATAAATAAAATTTTTATTCACATAACTTTTTTAGATTGTCAATCCTTGCCTCCTACAATACTTAGATTATTCTTAAGTTTCATTTCAGGTTTCTTTATTGCTATCCTTTAACACTTCTCTACCTATCCAAAGCTAGTATTCTCTTTAAATACTCTTTATGCATGTTAGTGTAATATTGTGTAATTATTGTGTCATTGTGTCATCACTCATTCTTATATTGCCATGATTTTGGTTCTCCTTTCCTAAATTACAAAATTATAAATTTTGTTATCAGCATAGACAAAATAACCTTTAAAATATATAACTTGAAAGTATATTGGTATTTTTTTTGAAAATACCTTTGCCATTTTGTTTATATGACAATTCAAAAATTTTCATAGCATATTCTAGTTCTATTTAGTGAGTTGTAATCTAATTGTGAACTCTGTTCTCTTGATTATGTGCAAAAGATTCCTAGGCTTCCAGAATAAAGGACTTAGAAAATCCAAGTTAAGCCATAACAAGTCAGGCAATTCCTGAAATTCAGTAAATCCCACTAGACCAGAATCATGTGTGCTTACAAGGTCAGTTTTTGAAGTGAGATTATTGCAGAAAAGGTCGATAGTGAAAGTTTTGATATTTTTCAGCAGCAGTTGATAATGGGCCAGAGAGCTTAACATACTTTTTTGGCATTAAGGAGTTATCCCTTTAGTGAGGTGACATTTCTCTTCACTTCTTTCTGTTAAATCATGAGATGGAGTAGCTATGGTGATTCTCTCAACTCTTCTCTCTAGTCACTGTGGCATCTTACCTGACACAGTGGGCTCTGAAATGCTAATCCTCCCACTTAAACATTTTCCTGAATTGTTCATAAATGCCTAGGGCTGCGCCTGATCACTATTCTTTACTCTAACAGTTTTCTGTGATTCAGCCTTTAAAAGTGACAAAAACAAAAACATGAAAACCACATCCTCCAAATTCAGGAAGAAAAATCTTATGTTCAATTCACAGTGAATTATAGTAAAGCATAAGTAGCATATGAAAATAATACATGCTTCAAGATAGGCATTTGTGGATATATTTATTCAAAACCTTTTTTACACTGTATCAAAACATATACCATTACATTAATATGGGCCATCTGCTAAAACAGAGGAATTATTTTGCTGTATAGAACTATATGTGAATTGCCATATTAGAATGTGCATTGTACGTATGCTGCAAAGATCTTAGCATGCTTTTTATTTCCTAAAGTGTAACCAGTGGTCCAATTATAGAAGCCCTATGCTCTGTAGAACAAAGGATTGTTTCATTAGCTTGCTATTTCAAAGCCTTTTAGGTTTGAAACAAGCTAACAAGTCCAGTTCAATGTCTTCCTGTTCTCCTTATCTACTATACTGTTTTATCAGGTAGTCAGGCAAAAATAGAGTATCACTGTTGCCTTCAAATACTCTCAAATCTTGGAAGTCGAAGTCCCGGAGGACAGATAATGTTCCTCAATGACCTTATTCGCTATACTTTCACCCAAAGTCATAATTTTTTTCAATCCTGGACATTTAATTAACTACCTTTTGTGTACATTGCATTTGAAATTCTTGAAATGTCCCAGCAAATCTAATATGGATAGTCTTTAGGAACTTTCAGTGAACTTCCCAGTGTTCTCAGTGTTCTCTCTTTCTCCCTCCTTCTCTCTCTTCCTCCTTCCTTCCTTTTCCGCCCACTTCTTTTCCAAGTGCTGTGGACCAAACCTGGGTTCTTGTTCATGCTGGCAAGCCCTCGGCCATTAAACTAAACATCCAATCCCACCTTTGACCTATTAAATGTATATGTCCAAGTATATGTTGGACATTCTTGGTAATATTTCTGACATCTTTAACCTTCAAAATTTGATTAGTAAAACTTGTAAAAATAAAGATTATAATCTTGTGCATTTGCATTTATTCTTGGCAGAAACCTACATATGCATATCATTCTCTAGATATTTATATAGGGACTCTAACATTGTGTAACTTACCCTGAAGAGGTTCCTCAAGATGTAATTTGTTCTGGCTGTTGATTCAGGCACCCTTTCAGCCAACAGAATTTAAAATATTTTAGGAAAACCATAAGTTGCTTAAAAATAAGAATGTAGATTTACATTATTTAAATTTGTTCAGATTCTGATTTTTTTTTTTTTTTTTTTTACTGAATTGAATCATGTTATGAAAATAGAGATATGTTTGACTCTGTTACTATGGACTCTTCTTACTCTGAAGAATATTTTAAACATATAGAGTTACATACATTAACAAGTTGAAGGAACCTAGAGAGCATGTGATGTGATAAGTGAAAATTTTTGTACTTAACAGAAATACCATTTTATAGTGTCTCAGTGGCTAGTAATGTTGAAAACATAGGGCAGCCTTGTTGAAAGTTTCCCAATATGCTATGATAATTTTATTTTTAAAAGTTAGAACAACAAAATGAAATAGGGAACACTACAAACAATGAGCATTAAAGTTTTGGTTTTATGTAGCTGTATAGGCATGTCTACATAGACATCAGTTAGTCTTATGTTTTTCTGGGCTTGATACCTTCTGGTAACAAAATGTTTCCTTACCCATTTCTTCCCAAAGACTAGGAGTTATGGTTAGAGCCAGCAACCTTCATAGTTCCTAGGAAAAATGAAGACTGTCTGCCTTTAGCATCACTTTATTTTCCTGCTGAACACTGCTCCAGTAGCTTGTTTTGGCTATTCCAGATGCTGTGGATGATAAGAAACACAGCATAGGTATACCAAGAGCTCATAGGCTTGAGCAGCATTCTAGCATCATAAACCTTAGCTCTGCATTTTCTCTTCTCATGTTTAAAATTTTGAAATAAAACAGGCTACATAGTTTGTATTTGATAGTAAAGTGCTTTGTCTTCATCTCCTGACAGCAAGAAGTCTTCAAGTAAGTAGCTTAACTTTTTTATTCAGTATTTCCCCAGCTTATTTGATGTTAGAAATCTTTTGAGACACATATAAATGTCCCTGGTGATAAGAACACGTACCAGCACTTAGTTTTGGAGCCTATCTAGACAGGATTTCAACATGCAGAGTCCTATAAGAGCAATGGAAAAGGGAATCCAGGAAGTCAGTTGTGAGAGTTACATGCTGAACAAGGCCTGAACCATGAGAATAAAAGACAGGAAGATTGGGTGAGGCAGGAAAGGTAGAATTAAGAGGTATGAAAGAATGAGTGGAAGCACATGGTGTATGTGAGGAACTGTGCAGTATCTCAGTATCATGTTACAAAAGTAAGAAATCATGTCAGGAGAATTCAGTCTGAATTGTACAGCTTTATACAACATGACTGACCTATAAAATAAATGGTAACCTCAAAGTTGCATAAAAGCTTCATGTTTCAAATTGTTTTAAATAAAGCTTTGAATTTATTTTGAAAATAGAAAAAATTTGAGATGAATAATTATAGCTGGATTTTCTCCCATATATGGCTGTTGAGTTGTAATGTTACTTGTGGTTTAAACAGTTCAATCATCTGTGAACATTTTAATGTAGGAATAATGCATTTTCCTTATAAAAGTTAATTGAATTATTTTTTTTTACTTTAAAATTAATCATAGGATAATCTACCTATGGGAAAAAATAAAATTTTTTTTTTAAATTTACAGTTTGGGTTTTTCCTGTCCAGCATTTTTGCTTACTATAAAATAAATTTAAAAAATGTACCCTTACACCATATAGACATAGATGTATGGTCTGGAAAGATAGCTCAGTTGAAATTGTGAGGTCTTGAGCTCTACCCCCAAAATCCATGAAACCAAAAGCTAGAAGTGGTGGTGTGTACTTAGAATCTCAGCACTGGACATACAGATATAGGAGATGTCTGGGACTGACTGTCCAGCCAGCCTAGCTTATCTAGTAAGCTCTAGGTGAGAAAAACAGCTAGATGGTATTTGAGGAATGATAGCTAAGGTTGTCATCTGGCCTCTGTATTAATGGGTACACACAGGCATGCACACAGAGAAAGGAACAGGTACACAAAAAGAAACAGCATGTTGAAACATTTTAAGCATAATTTATGTATATAATCCTAAATGTAATATTCATTTAACTTTTTACTTTGTACAATATAAACATGGCATTTGAAGATTGATACTTCATTCTGTTAGATAGGCCATTGTTCTATAACTCTAGAAAGACTTTAGTTTTTCCAATCATAGTTTTTACAGTTCCTGTTTTCTTACTGCCAATTATACATATTAATCTTCAGAACTGGGATTATTGAATCATAAAGTAGGGATATATTTGCCATTTGACACATGGCAGTACAGTAGCTTCTTAAAAGTAGAGCACTTTATATTTTGCATTTGAAGTCTATTAGAGGTTTTATTTTCTCAGCTTTTGAGGGCAATCATTTTAAAATGACAACAATGCTGATGCATACTTTGTGGGTTCAGTAATTTATGAGTATACTGACTATACTGACTATTTTCTCATAGTTTTAATGGTAAGTTAAACCCATTAAAATCTTTCTGTTTAATACTTTAAACTTGACCTAAGGGTTACTCTTGATATGAAGCTTTTTTTTTTTAATTTTTTTTGAGGTATCCATCACGAATTGAAAAAATTGATTATGAAGAAGGGAAGATGTTAGTTCATTTTGAGCGCTGGAGTCATCGTTATGATGAGTGGATTTATTGGGACAGCAACAGGTTGCGACCCCTTGAAAGACCTGCACTAAGAAAAGAAGGGCTAAAGGATGAGGAAGATTTCTTTGTAAGTAGGAAGCTTTTTCCATTTGTTGCTTTTAAAGATAAAAAAATGAAAATTTTAAAGGACTGTAAAATTTAACAGCCTTTTTTGTTAATGAAATGTTTGTTATATATGGAATTGATCTTAAAAGTTGTTTGAATAGGATTTTAAAGCTGGAGAAGAAGTTCTGGCTCGTTGGACAGACTGTCGCTATTACCCTGCCAAGATTGAAGCAATTAACAAAGAAGGTATGCATTTGACATGACCAGAGAATTAAATAGGATTGAGAGAAAATTTCTTTATTTCAAATTTCAGTGAAGGTATATGGCTGTCACATAGAACTTGATTCTTGTTTTATGTTGTTATGTGTGGATTTCTTGCTGGTATTCTTTACAGGAACATTTGTTAAATATTGTTAAGTGTGACATGGCTCATGGCTTCACAGCCTGAATCAAATAAATCAAGTGTTTTAGTAAGATTTCCCATGAGCCTGGAAATCTTTTAGACAAATAATAAACTTGAATGCTTACTGGTTTTCAAAGAAACAATCACTGGACACCAAGTGATAGCCTTGTGAGGACATTTGGTCTACTCAGGGGACACCTCCTTTAAGTTGTGAAAGACATATAAACTAGTTAAAGAAGAGCTAGAAGAGCTTTGTTTGGGATGGAATAGTGGGGAAATGGATAGACAGAGGCAAAGATTAATATGTGGAGAACATTGGAATCTCGCTAAAGGATTTGAATTTTATTTGGAAGTGATAAAAGCAATGGAGGAATATAAACTTTGGGTTAAAATTAAAAATAAGCTTGAAAAAATAGAAGGTAAGACACAGGCAGAAAATATGTAAAAGGATGTATATGGAATTTGGTATGAAAAATAACAGTAGTCTTAATTGATAATCATTTTAAAAAGATCTCAGTCCCACTTATGGTTTCAGTGATTTGGAGCTGCAGATGATATTATGGTTTCATTTCTAGTAGTTACCCACTCACTGCAGGAAGAGGCAAGAGACTGCTTTGTCACTGGGTGTGCAGATCATTGCCCCTTTTTCTTTGGGTGCTTACACTTCTATGGAGCTGTGTTCCACCACGAATTTGCTTAACTATTATGCCTAGACACCCTCAATGTTCATTCCAGAGCCTGGCACAGAATAGGTTGGTCAATAGAAGTATGGGCAAAGTGAATCTGTTCTCTTAGGTCCTAAGTCCATCTCAAATCAGACAAAGTAAAAGCACACAATGCTCTGTAACTAAGATCAGCAGTGTTGAGTGTGGAGTACTTTAGGACTTGCCGTAATTCGTAAGCACATGCTTGTGCAGTTGTGTACACAAATGCACAAACAAACCATAGTCACTGCTTATCCTATTCTATTTATCTATTTATCTATTTATCTATCTATCTATTTATTTATTTATTTATTTATTTATTTATTTATCTATTTATTCTATTTATAGGTTTTAAAACAGAAAGTTAAGTTTATATTAGAAATGTGGTGCTACTGGTACAGTGAGTGCTGAGATTTTTGGAGTAGTTATAGGGAGTCTTTAGTGAAATACTAATAGCTATTTTCTTAAACTCTTCACTAGAAGTATTAATTTTGATTTCTATATACCTCACATAGTAGATAAACCTGCATCTTTCCTTTAAGAGGAAAAATTGGGAGTTGGGGAAACTCCCTGTTCATTATAAAAGCAAAATGAAACTAACTAATGTGGGCATTTAGATATTTGTGATATAGCTTACATAACTGAAAAGAGAGCAGTACAAATCTATGAATATGAACATAAATATCTAGGAGGCCATTTATCAACATGACATTTCAGCAAAACAATAAGTTCTCCCTTGAACCTATGATTTTCCTAGGCATGAATTTTGACCATGTTTATGGTACCAGGCCTGAACCTATGGAAAGGCCTCAAAAGAGCAATTGCTTACCACCTCCCATATCCTGTGTAGTCTTGTCCCTATTGCACTAATGAACACATCTTGTTCAGGAGGTTGATACTACATCATATAGGGTAAGACCATTGATTACTCTTCTCCCCCAGTAGCCTGCACATCCCCTCTCCACACAGACAGCAGTAATTAGACTCAATGAGTTATTAAAATATAAAAGGAACATGGAATTTGGAGAAAGATAGGTTATGGGTAGAGTTTGAGGGAGAAAAGTGGTGAGGATATGGATATGATAAAGATACATTTTATCCATGTATAAAATTTTCTTTTTTTTTTTCTTAGAAAATAGTTATTTTATTTTATTTATTTTATTTTATTTTTCTTTTTAGTTACATTTTGTTAACTCTGTGTCCCAGCTGTATCCCGATCCCTCATTCCGTCCCCAACCCCACACTCCCTCCCTGGTCTCCTCCCTGCCCCTTTCCAAGTCCCCTGATAGGGGAGGACCTCCTCCCCTTTCATCTGACCCTGTTTTATCAGGTATCTTCAGGGCTGGCTGCAAAGTCCTCCTCTGTGGCCTAACAGACTGCTCCTCCCCTGGGGGGGGGGGGTGTCAAACAGCCTGCCCTTGAGATCCTGTTAGAAATAGTCCGTGTTCCCCTTACTTTGGAAAACTACTTGGTTACTGAGCTACCACGGGCCACATCCGAGCAGAAGTTCTAGGTTATATCCATAGATGGTCCTTGGTTGAGTGTCAGTCTCAGAAAAGACCCTGTGCCCAGATATATTTGGTCCTTGTAGAGCTCCTATCCTTTCCATATCATACTAACTTCCCTTCTTTCATATGATTCCCTGCACTCTGCCAAGGGTTTGGTTATGAGTCTTAGTGTCTGCTTTGAAACACTGCTAGGTAGAGTCTTTCAGATGCCTTTTGTGGTAGACTCCTGTCATAAGTTCAATGCACATCCCATTTGTCTTTCTAAATGAGGATTAATCACCTTCGCCTGTGTCCACTTTCTTCATTATCTTCTATAGGTGTGTAGATTTCATTATGTTTATCATGTCTTGTAGGTCTATATAAGCGAGTATATACCAAGTTTGTCTTTCTCCTTCTGGGATACTTCACTCAGAATGATCTTTTCTAGATCCCACCACTTGCCTGCAAATTTCATGATTTCCTCCTTTTTGATTGCTGAGTAGTATTCCATTCAAACAATAAAAAAGTGAAGAAGGGCAGATAGGAAATATGGATTAGAGAGGTCAGAGACGTTTTCAGTTTGAGGATGGTCATTGAAAAGTGGTTAGAGTTAGGTTCAGTAAGAGATACAGGGAGGCATCCAAGTGGAGGAAATAGAATGAAAAGGGTTGGAGGAATAAAGGCCCTGCCAGTGTGTACAGACAACACGGGCTACCAAGGAGTGCCATGTGGGGGAAAGAAATGAAGAAACAGTTGCGGGAATGATGGTAGTACAAGGTATATATACAATTTGGCATTCTTAAAATTTTCCATTGTCCTTATATCCATCCTACTCACTTGATCATTGTTTCATAAGTTCTAGCTTAGGTTTAGAACTTTGCAATATTGAATTATGAAAGTATATGAAGATGTGAAGTGAAATTGATTTTTCAAGTTACAAAAAAAGAAATTGTTACATACCATTGGCTTTGGAGTCAACTTCATACCAATTTATAATAATGATCATGTTTCTTGGTTGTACTTTTGTAAAGGCCAGTTACCTACTTAAAGTGGTGTTCCATTTTTCCGTAAGTTTAAAATCTACCTGACTTTTCCTATAAACCCTGTTTAATACTGACTTGCTGGCAGGAGACCTGCCACAGAAAGTGAGTGTGGTCAGCATCTGCAAGCAGACCAATGCAGGAAGGGAAAGGTACAGCTGGCTTTCACAGCATGGTAGAGATTGTTGTACTGCTGTTGAGCTGAGCACCACAGTTGCCATTCTCAACTCATTAAGGTGGTTGTGTTGATCTGCAAACAACTCCTATATTGATGCTTTCAAAGTTATTTTCTAACTTAAACTTCACGTATGAGAATATTCTTTTGCCACTTTAATACTATTGTAAATCTCCCTGAGAAAATGATCCTTATCATATAGTAAGTTTTTCTCTCTGTTACCTACTTTAAAATTGAAAAAGATCCAATTATCATTCTTGTACAAATACTGTTTTTTGTAAATAGGGTTTTATTTTTATGAGATAATTTTAAGGATATTATGTCTTTACAATAAATTTCAAAATTCTTCAGTAAAGATCAAAGTTACATTCAGCTAAGTTATCAGGAATTTGTGTACATTTTAAGGGAAGAACTAGTTCATAATTGTTTATAGATGGAGAGAGAGAATATATTTAATAACTCAGTGGAGTGCTTACAGGAGATTGTGCCCATATTAGTGCAATCACAAAGCATCCTTTTACATCATAACACTATTGTTAGACCCCCAAGTGCTGCTATAACGTTGCATGATACTTTCTAATTACTCTGACTGCTCCTATTTCAGGAACATTCACAGTTCAGTTTTATGATGGCGTTATCCGTTGTTTAAAAAGAATGCACATTAAAGCCATGCCTGAGGACGCTAAGGGGCAGGTAAGAATGTTCAGTATTCCTGGATATTTAAGGGATATCTTTGTGATCAACATGCATATGTATATATTTTATTAAATGAACTAATTGTAGGGTTATGTGCTGAGAGCCCCAAATAGCAGCAAGAAAGAGAAGCTTAGTATGTAAAATAAATTATACATTTGATTTTTGCTTCTTTGGTTTTAGACCTGCTAAAGTTATAGGTCACTAGTTTCTGTTCCAGGTGAAATCCCAGCATCCACTAAGCTGGTGTTGTCCTTTCGACCCAGCTGGATCGTGTAACCAGTCTATGGGAAGTGAGGTAAGTGCCTTTTTGCTTTTAAATTTTGTTGTTTTATCTGGTATATAGTCTTATTTAGAAAGATATTTTTTAATATTAAATTTTACATAAGTTTCTTATCTTCTTCTTTCCTTCTACAAATCATTGTTATTCACCTTTCTTAAAAGGCGCTTACCTGACACTCTGTAGGCTGTTTCAGGTAGGGCTCTCTGAGTAGCATAATGGAAGCAGTACATTCTATGCTTTGCCACTGCACAAAGCAAAATAAATGGTGAGCATTGAACAAGAGTCTAGGATGGAGCAAAAAACAAACAAACAAACAAAAAAAACATTTCATTTGCTTAATATGCTTCCTCAAACATTGGAAAGAAAGGTGCCATTGGAACAAAAACTATTTTCTTTTATGTTCTGCTGTTATTTGGGATTTTCAGCACCTGGACCTACAATTAATTTAAGAACTTGAAAGTAATCAATGAAAATGTCTAATGTGAAAATATGTTCCCTATTTGTTCCATACCATGTAACAAAAAATGTTATCCTTAAGTATGTCAAAAAAAAAAATCATATGGTTAGTTTCAGTTAGGCATAAACATTTTATGGCCTGCAAATGTCTAAATTCACAGTTGAAATAATTATATTTGAGTATTCTGAAAAGTGTGATTGCTTCTGAAATGATCAGAGTTTCATATGTGTGTATATGTAAATGCAATTTAAAGTTAAAATACTTTCAATCAACAAGTCACTTTGTGTCTCCTTGTGTTTGTATTAAAAAAATATTTTTAAGCATCTAGTAGTATCCTTTTTAGTTACTGAGTAGGAAGACCGATCAAAATATTGGGAGCATAGTTTGCTCCATAACGTTAAACCAATTTCTTCTTTTACTTTAATATTGTGACTCTGTTACTGTAGTTATTCAGATGTCATGAAATGACACTCTTATTTTGCCTTGAAATTTTTAAAGTGGTCTCTTGAGGCAATTTGGTTTGTGGTTAAATAACAGGTTATAGAAATTAGATTTGTTGGATGTGATCTTTGGAAGTATTTAGTCACATTACAATGTGCATTAACATTAAGATCAATGCCAAAATACAAAACCACTTAAAGAGTACTTGATTGGCAATATATTTCTTTGAATTTTTCATTTTCCTTATAATTTGTAATTATATGCAGATTAAAATATTTACTAAGTATTTGTATAAGTTATTTTATGAGTTTTTCCCCAAATGGGTATTTACTTTACCTAGGAAATACAATAAAACAGGTAATTAGGAAAGCCTAAGATTTTTTTTTTCTAGAATTTGAATACTTTGGGAATCCTTGTGTGAAAATATGAAGAAAAGTTTCTTACACTAACTTAGCAAAAAATAATGCATTGAATAAATGTACAGTGGAAATGTTTTCCCTAAATCTTCTTTAACACCTGAGTAAGATGAGACATTAATAGCAATTTTATGTAAGTGAACTTCCAGATTTGTTTTCTTAAGCTTAAATAAAAGTCCTGATGCTATTGTTGTTGACTTTGAGACTAGACGGTTGGTGCTCTTCCACTCTGGTTGCACATTATTTTTTCTTTTTTATTATTATTGTTATTATTTATTAAAATTTATTCACTTTGTATCCTGGCTGTAGCCCCCACCCCTCATCTCCTCCTGGTCCTACCCTTCCTCCTTCTTCCCTCCTCTATGTCCCTCCTTTAGTCTATTGATAGGGGAGGTCCTTCTCCCCTACTGTCTGTCCATAGCCTATCAGGTCTCATCAGAACTCTCTGGATCTTCTTTCGCTGTGGCCTAGTAAGGCCACCTCACCAGGGGGAGGTGATTAAAGAGTGAGCAATGGAGTTCATGCCAGTGACTGCCTCTGCTCCCCTCAGTAGGGAACCCCTATGGAGACTGAACTCTCCATGGGCTACATCTGAACAGGATGGTCTAGGTCCTCTGAATGCATGGTCCTTGGTTGATTCATCAGTCTCTGCAGGGTCCCCTAGGCCCACATATTTTGGCTTTGTTAGTCTTGTGTAACTCCTGTTCCCTCCAGGTCTTTCTGTCTCCCCCTTCCATGTGATTCCCTGTACTCTGCTCAAAGTTTGGCTATGAGTCTCAGCATCTGCTTCCATACTCTGCTGGGTAAAGTCTTTCAGAGGCCCTCTGTAGAAGGCTCCTGTTCTGATCCCTGTCTTCTACTTCCAATGTCTGTCCTGTTTGAAATGTAGGCCTTCATGTACTGTGTTTGCAGACATTGACCTTCACTAGGAAATATAGTATGGTAGACATAATTGACTGTACAAACTAAGATGCCCTGTTATTATCCCTGTCTTTTCTATAATTGTAAATGTCTTAGTAGTATTGATCCATACTTATGAAGCTGACATTTCCCAGGATAGAGAACAGTTCTCACACTTAGTGAGTGTCATACTACTTGCTGTTCTCCATGATTTCCCACTTGTACTAAGCATAGCAGCAGTAACTATAGAACAAGGAACTGAGGTGTTTATTTTAAATTTGAAGTCTGTAAGCACAGCCTCACACTCCATTCTTTCTGAAAGTTTGTTGATATTAAGTATTGATTGAAGATTAGCCTATAAATTGTGTGTAAATCCTGCATTTCCCATTTTTGGTAGGTTACATCTGTTGATTTATTGATGTTAGCAGATGTTAGTTTGAAGGTAAAAAATAACTTGAAATGGAAATTACCTCTAACTATGTCTAACATTGCTCTGATGACAACTAAAACAAACTGGAGCCACATCCCTTCTTCTAATAATTTTGTAAACATACATTCACTCTGCATGAAACACTTCTGGTGTGGTTGTACTTACTCCTCCTCCTTCATTCACTTTGTTGGCCACTCCTTGGTTTTCCTCTTTTGGAGTTACTCTCCTCACTACTTTATTGTGAGCATCAAAGCTCAACCGTTAGTGATAGCAGTCACTAGCTAATTCCTCTTCTCCTAAGTCCTTCCGCATGCATCCCCATCCTTGCATACACTGGCTTCTCTGCCTTCCTTTAATATCTTTCATCTTGTTTGCAGGACTTGCTTCCCCCTTTTTAGCTGTTTTATCTTTTCCAGCCAATTCTCCTTGTCTTTAGAAACCAACTCCAAGTCCATATCTCTGAAATCTCCTATTAGTCTTTCTTTTCAGTCAGAATAAGTCTTTTCTGTTGTCTCATGGTATTTTTATTTTTCTAGTGTGTGTCCTGTCACATCATCCTTTTCTTCTTTTCTTTTAAAAGATGGTCTCATATAGCCTAGGCTGTCCTTAAACTTCCTAAGCTGAAGATGACCTTGAACTTGTAAGCTTCTTAGCCTATTTATATCTTCCACATCACTATCTTATGGTTAATTTTATTTTTTTATAAATTCCTTGACTAGCCCTTTTTCTTTTATCAGCTTTTGTGTTTTAATGTTAGACTGATACCTGCCTTGTCTTATAGGGCATTCAATAGGAAATGGGCAAAAAAACAAAACCAAAACAAACAAACAAAAATCATGTTAGGTAGTGACATGGTTGTAGATCATTTCAGTGACAGAGGGGACAAAAGTAACTATAGATGCAGTTGTTGCTCATTCACAGGGGCCACTTTACCTTCACCATATATCTCCAGGGGTGAATAGTTAGCACCTATAGTTTTGGTTACATTTGTTTATAGTAGTACTATGTTCATTCATGCAGTTCACTAGTTAAATTCATTTTATTTTGTAAAATTCTTTCCAGTTACTTAAAATAAGTACTATGAATGTTGGATGAATTTATTGTACATTTAGACAGTACTTAGGGACAGGAGTAGAAGATTAACCCAATAGAGACATTACCAAAAATATTTATTTAAAACACCCTTTCTTACTAAAACTTAATATAGCACCACTTTATGTTTCTGTAGAGTGTTTAATACCACAATAAAGAATTTTGATTTAAAGATGAAAAAAAATCAAGATTTATTTAGGGTGAGGAAGAGGGCTCAGCAAGTAAAGGCACTTGCTGCCAAGTTTGATGATCTATGCTTAAGCTGAATTTAATCCCAGGAACCCACATGGTGGAAGGACTTCCACAAATTTTTCCCACATGCATACTATAGCATGTGCATCCCTCCCCAACCACTGACTAAATAAATGTTAAAAAAGATTAATTTGTAGCTAACAAATTTTCTTTACTAATATTATAAAGATGTGATAAATTGATCCTGAAGTTTAAATGTTTAACGAGTAAAATAATAATTTGATTTCTAAGAAATTTACTATGAATCAAATGGTATGTGCTTCTTAAAAGGGAAAAGTACCTTGGTCAGTAGTAATACATTTTTCTCAGTATTCACAAGAGTATAATGTAATTCTCTTTTGTATTATCCACTGTATTTTGAGAAAGAAAAGTAATACCACTTTTAACTGTAAAACATTGAAGTAGCATGGGACATAGCATTCCAAATTTTCTATAGTTTTTTTTTTTTAGTTGTGTTTGATTAATTATATAAAAACACGTACAAGGACTATTTGCTATTGAATATTTTTTTCATTTTATAGATGGATTTTTAGTTCATCTTAGTTTATTAAGTTAAAATCTCCATCATGATGATAATCTGCCACATAAATATAGTTAGCCTAATTTTTACAAGTGTGTATGTTTGAGTAGCTGTCAAGATGCAATACATATTTTTATTTATTAATGAAGCTAAATTTGGATTTTTAATACTTCATGTTTTATGTTTTTCCTTTGGAGGACTGGATTGCTTTAGTCAAAGCAGCTGCTGCAGCTGCAGCGAAGAGTAAAACAGGGACTAAACCTCGAACCAGTGCTAACAGCAATAAAGAGAAAGAGAGAGATGGGGGAAAATGGTTTAAAGTACCTTCAAAGAAGGCAGAAACTTCATCTTGCATAGCCACAGCAGAGACTGAGAAGAAGGAAGAACTACCCACATCTAGTGAACCATTTGGTACAAAATACATTCTTATTTTCCTTTCAGGTGACACAGGTAAACTGAGGTAGCAAATAAGCCAAAACCTCTAGGTCAGCTATAATTTTGGACTTAGAATTAAATTATTCACTCCTAGCATAATAGGGTGACTGACTACATTATCATATATATATATACACACACACATATATAACTTAAAATTTAAGATCTAATGTCAGTATTTGACATTAGCTGCTTTCAGTATTCTTGAGTATGAATCGTTTGGTATTAGTAGTTTTCTGCTTGAAATTTTGGTTTTTAAGGGATTGTGCTGTTTCAATGTGCTACATAGAAGAAGCAGTAAGTTACTTTGTTTGAGCTTTACTTCAAGAATAACTACTTAATAGGCTTTTATTTCTTTTGTGTCAGTCCAGAAGGATTTGTGTTTGTTTAAGTCATAATGAAGCACTAGATTTAAAAAAAAATAATATACAAATGCTTTCACTAATTTGCTATTATTTGTATGTCTTAGTTTTGGATTCCAGACAAACTCTCATATATGTGTTCTGTTAAAAGTAGGACTTCACATAGACAGCGTTCCAAAGATCGTCTTTCCACAGCCAGAGAGCACATTAACAAACAAGAGGAAAAATAATCAAGGCAACTCATTTCAGGCAAAGAGAGCACGACTTAACAAGATTACTGGTAAACTACAATGATTCTTTTGGCGGTGGGGAGTAGGGGGAGCTAGAGGCTTCGTGTTAGAGTAGTTTCTTTTTAATAAAGGAGAATCCAGCTTTTGGCTCAGTGTAATGAGTTGATTACTTTTTGTTCTTCAAAGTAAACATCTCTCAACACTGTCAGCTCTGTCTGTTATAAAATGTGAAATATAGCACATATTTTGTACCTACCTCACAGGGGTGTTGTGAGGATTAATAAGCTCAAGTGTTGCAAGAGTCTGTAGTCTTAAAATCACTTTATGGTAGGAATAGTTTCTGTCAGAAAAGGTTTATCTGCATTTATTAACTTGTGTTGGCTTTATTTCTATGGCTTTAAATATTTTCACACGTAAACAGTCTTACAGGTGACAAGGCTTACTTAAAATGGAACCATTTGTGGTAAAAATATGAATACTTGACTGAATTAAGTTTCTGACTCATTTGTTATTTCCTTCTTTTTTCTTGAGGTTGGTCTCTAGAGTACCTTCTAGTAAGGTGTCATGTAGCAGTATAAGGGTGATGAAAATACAATCCTAGCAAGGCTACTGCTCACACAAGAGAAAATTGAAGCATTATATACAGAGACAGTCATGTTACACCTGAAAGTTCTAGGCTTTTGGCCTAATATATTTCTAGTATCCAAATGAAATAATGTTTATGATTAATTTTAAAGTGTACTTTAAAGGGAAGTATAAATGTTTTAATGATTTGGACATCTAATTTTTAAAAACAAAATATTTTTAAGGGCCTTTGGTCTAATAAAACCAAATAAACCTTTGTTGGCACTCATTTAAGTCATTTGAAGAAGATTAGCTTCTTTGTTAGATTCTGGAATAAACATTAAGTATGTTGTGTTTTGTCTGTTTTCAAGAGGAAACCTACTGAAAGATGGCTGGAACAGAGGGCTCTTGTGAGCCACTCCATGACAGGGCTCATTGAGGGTTAATATTTCTTTCTGCACTGATGAGATCAGGCTTGTTCTGTCTGACATGGGGTGTATTTGCCCTCAGGACAGGAAATATCTCAAATAACTTCACCCATTAAACCTTTTCTTTAGAAATTGTTAGCCTTGGAGAAATCCATAATCTTCTCTAAACTGATTATTGTGCTGTTAGCTTGAGACTTAAGTTTGGGCCTAAAATACAGAACTCAGTACTACTTGCAGGGCAGAGTGGAAAGCTGCTTCTCACTCATGTGATAAAAAGATTGAAACTGCTTGTTGGAGGATTCAAGACCAAGGAAGACGGAAATGCCACTGACAGGATACAGCTGATTGTCAGCTTCCCAGGATCATGATTTTTTTTTTTCCTTCAGCCATATAACCTGCTTTTAGTTTCAGCCAAAGTGTTTTCACATATGCCTGCTTCTAAATGCCTTAATGGGAGGATCAAGCTCAACATTTAAAGAAATAACAAATCTGAAAAAAGTCAGCTGAGTCTACATAATGTATTGTCTTTGCATGGCCTTGGAGAGACAGTTAAGGATAAAGAACCATTTACCTTGTGCCTCAAATTGTAATCTAGGTTGCTTAGTAACACTTCTGGTCTTTTGTGAAGGTACTTAAGTTTTCCTTAGGAATGTCAAATGTGATGGTTAGCAACAGAATAACACATAACCCATGTGAAGCCATTATAGTCTGTCCCTTTTTCTCAGAAGATTTACATATATCACAATTCTTTGAGCATCATTCTTCATCATTGCTTTTATTTTTAATTTCATGTCACAAGTATGCCATGCAGAAAGACAGTAGATGTAAGATTGTCTTCAGTAGGTTAACCCAGAGTTTGCTTGTGTACAATGATTTTCATTTGTCATCTGTTAAATGAGAACTGGTGTGAAATAGTCACATTGCTGTTTCTTAAATTTAAGTTCTGTGTGTGTCTTTTTGTCCTTTACTAGAGAGAAATGGCAAGAATTATGGCATTTTGTTCTTGTTAACTTTTCTCTTTTTCTGCTATTCTTAAAAAATACTTTTACCTGAAGATTCATGAACTAGCCACTGGATAAGTTTAACTGTGTATAATGATACACTGTCTTACTTCCTTCCCTTCATATGCATCCTATGGTGATTCTGACCTGATTGCTATATAGGGAATGATAAAATGATGAGTTTTTCAAAGTTTGTAACTAGGAAGAAATGAAATTATAGTTGGGTTCTGTATGTGTGTGTATTCTCTTTGGTTATTGTTTTTGAATATGTAATATGCTTTACTGATAGCTCTATCATGTAGTATATGTATATTCCTTTCAGGTAGCAGTTTTGCACTTAAAGCCAGAATCCCTAACTTTACAAACAAGTTGCAAGCAAACTGAGTTTTAGTAGACTTGAAAATAGTAACTGTTCACAGAGTAAAAGAATAAAGTACATGATATACTCTAATCCTTGTAGGCATTATGGGAAGTTAGAAATGTTTGTGCAATGTCAGGATTTTTCTTCTTTTTTATTATTATCATTTATTACAATTTATCCAATTTTTATCCCGGCTCTGACCCCCTCCCTTGTCTCCTGCCAGTCCCACTCTTTCTCCCTCTTCTTCCCCTATGCCCCTCCCCTAGTCCACTGATGGGGGGGGGGGTCCTCCGGCTGGAGAGATGGCTCAGCTGTTAAAGGATAGGCTCACAACCATAAATGTCAGGAATTTTTGAAAATTTTGAAAAAAATGATGATATTTACATTACTAGTGAGAAGTTGATCAGGATTTTTAACCACTTTGTTCTCTGAGCATTCGCCTTTGTATTCTAGGGATCTCTGGCCTCCTTTTCTCAGTGAAGTAGGTCATTATGAAATGACTTTGTTTGGTGGTAGGATTCATGATGATTTGATATTCTCCTTCTACCTACTGGATTTAATACCCTGATGCTGTATCATGCATTCTTTAAGACATTCTTCTGGAGTAAGGCCTATTTGTAATGTACTGATAATAAGTATTTGCAATAATTAAAATTAATTTTATTTGTATCTATTTCATTCAAACTTTCATTTACTCTGGATAATAAATTTCTTCTTAGAATGTTGGCAGGGAAAAATAATTGAATTTAGACTGTCCCTCCAGGCAGAAATAGAATCTCCTCTTCACACACTTGTTCTGTCATGTGTCTGCTTTTGTTTATGCCTAGTAATTCTTTTTAAAGTTGAGATGCATGTCAAACATACAGAGTTTATTTTGTATATTTGAATTCTCTAGATACCAAGTGTATTTTCAAATCTAAGTAAGTAGTTTGTCTTAACTGCTTCATTATTATCTATAGCCAAATTAAAAGGCTTTTCTTTTTCCAGCAATTATATAGAAATGGCTTTTAATCAGTTTGGCCTATACTACTCTAATAGGTTATAGATAGATTGTTTTGTTTCTTTTACAACTTGCACCATATTCTGAAATCTGAGCTTATAATTCATCTTATCTCTTGAATATTAAAAAAACTTTCTATCACTTCTAGGAAAGGAAACAGTAAGGTTTAGCTAATATAGTGAATGGCAAATATTTTTTATGTTTGAATAACTTTAAGAAATAGAACTTCAGCTAGGTTTCCTGGCACACTTCTTTTATCCAACACCCAGAGAGGCAGAAACAGGCAGATTACTGTGAGTTAGAGACCAGTCTGATCTACAAAGTGAGTCCAGGATCCAAGGTTACATAGAGAAACCCTATCTTGAAACACACACACACACACACACACACACACACACACACACACACACACACAAATAGAACTTCTACCCGTTTCTTGATGTAAAAAGACTTTGATTGTGTATCATTAACAAAAACTTAAGTAGCTCATTGATTCTCAAAAAATGTTATCTGGAAAAGAAAAAAAAAAACAGTGAATGCTGTTTTAAATGTTAGAGAAATGTTCTATACTACATCTTTTTGTTTATATAAAATATGTTTATACTGAAGTTAAGATAAATTTATGGGTTAAAAACTTTATAAGATAGTTTATATGCCTTTATTTTTCATTTAAATTTATACTTAATGTGGTGTGGGACAGGAAGAAACTAGATTGTTATCTCAAACTGAGTGGAGTACCAGTCACAGATGTATCAAAATCTTTGTTTTCCACTGATCCTCTTGATTTCATACTCATCTGTAGTCATTCAGCTTTTTAGTAAAGCCAGTGTGCCTTCTACCTAATGTAATATTTCTGTCTCTTACTACTTTAAGATCATGTGGATATGTTTGTTCCCATATTGGTTACTTAACATCTTTGAGGTAGTTACTTAAGAAAGTCAGGCCACATTGCCTTGTGAGTAGCTTTCTGTCCTGTAGTGTTTCAGGGAACCTTTCCTTTCCTACAGACTAATGTTAACAGTTTCAGTAATAAAGGTGTTAAAAATTGCTATAGCAAGTTTTCTATTGTTATCACTTATTATTTGTGTTTCATCTTACGAACAGAGTAGCCACACAAAAAAAAAAATAATTGTCCTTTTAAAAACCTTGTCTCATAGAAGGTACTGACAGAATGAGCAAAGAATTGTATACAAGGAAATGTCTTTATTAATGAAAGCAGAATTTTGATGTTTTGTGAAAATAACTATATCATAAATAAAGAATTCTGTCTTCTAAAGTCCGGTGTTAGGGCTATATGTTACAAAAAAAAAAAAAAAAAAAAAAAAGAAAGAAAAATAGAGCTTTCCATTTTGACATCATATGTAGAATGAAGCTGTCAGCCCAGGTGTTCTAAGGACCCACACATTCTTTCACTCTGTATCAAAGGGTCCATGAGATGGTTTTGAAACTTTTGGAAGAAAATAAGACATAAGTAAGCATAGGTACAAATGTGCAAAGCTTAGGTTAAAGAATGTAAGTGAAATTAAAATTTAGAAATACCTTTTAAAAACTAATATAACAGAATGATATGCTACTCTGCTTTATGAGTATTAGTAATGTAAACCATCTTAATCTGGACTTTGAAGCCAGAAAGTTTATTTTTCTCCAGAATAAGTATATGTATTTAAGGATCTCAGAAGTAACATAAAAAAGAAAAAAATTTACCCAACTATGTGAACAACTCTCAAATTTAAGGGTGTTTGCATTTATTAAAAGTTAGCATTTGAAAATACTTCCCATATGTGGGAAATTTCAACTGCTAAAATGTTAGAAGTTTGATGGTGAAATGAGTTTTTTTTTTTTTTTTCTAACAAGCCATTTCTGTACAATTTTTCTCAAGGTTTATTGGCATCCAAAGCTGTTGGGGCAGATGGTGCTGAAAACAAAGACGACCACACTGCAACAGCTCCAGTGCTGGAGCAGGTATGAACGGTAGCGTTTGATTGTTTCAGATTTCCAAGGGAACGCTCACGGAGCTGCAGTCCCTACATGATTGCAGTTGCCACTCTGATCAGATATGGGAATAGAGCCCTGACTCATTGATGGTAGATTTTTACCTCTGCCTTCTCCCAAGTATGCAGCTAAACTATGGACTTCATTTGCTTACATTTTCCATAGACTGACATTAAAGCCATTGTCTCCAAAATGAGAAGGCCTGGAGACAGGCATCCCAGGGTATGAGCTTCCAGCTGGACATCTTTAGCTTTCAAAAAGACCCTTACACAAATACTTTTCATTTGTGAGTTTAAACAGGGTTTTTTGACATCCAATTAAGCTTCTTTTATAAGAAGTTTCTTTTATATCGTAAGAGTTGGTGTTGTTAGACTGTTTTATTAATTGATCAATGAGCCATACATTTTTTGCTAGGATGTATATTTTACTAACTACAATAAAAAGAGAATTTAAAAAACTTTTAAAGGTCTGTCTTAAACCACCTAATAGAGAAATTTAAAACTGAAGGTTGCAGTTGCTAGAATTGGCCTTGGATACCTTCAACTTCTCACAATACCTGTACATATAAGTTGTGCATGCTTTTCCATCCTCTAAGGGCTTAACTGCTTAGGCACTCTATGGATACAGTAATAGCCATAACTGGATTTCTTTGGTTCTCCTGTTTTTAAAATCTGAGCCTTAATGTAGTTTCAATATATCCTTTTTGTATAATCTTAATTTTCTTTATTAGTAACCTAATAAAGAAGACTTTAAAATGAGTATCTTTTGCTCTTCTCTATATGTGTTTTAAAGGTTATCCCAAATTTCATTGATATTGTATTGAGTTTTTCAGTGTTTATTCAGGCCTGATTTGAAAGCAGAACATTGTTTTGGTGCCCCCATTAATGTTGTATTAAATCAATAGTCTTTTAAATTGAGATCAGTATGTCAGTGACTCATACCTTCTGTTTTTCTGTGAGCATCAAACGGTTAAGTCTTTTTGTCAGTATATCAACCAAATTTTAGTAACTTTTTTTACTGTGTATGACTATTATTCAATGTCCCAGATATAATAAGTATTTTGTACTCCTGCAACTGTTACGATACACTCAGAATGCGATATATCAGGGACTCGGGTAATAAAATACTTCTGGAAAATTCATTACAATGTCAATCTTTCATTACACATAACCTGTGAGGTAAATGTGATTGTGAAAAGTACATATTATGTGTGGAAGTTAGTTTAGAATCAGTAACCAGTTCGAAGAAACAGTTTTTAAGAGAAAGGAAGATAGGGTAACTCGGCTGTTTATTTGTACTTGCATAATTTAAAATTTTTGAAAGTCCTTGCCAGTTTTGTAACAGAGACCAATAATAATTAATTGAATCTTTGTAAACTGTTATAGAATTTAAGGAACATCATGCTGTTCCCTCTTTTATTTTGTCATTCAGGTTGATTTCAATGTGAAAATGTTTTGTAACCAAACTCTTAATTTTTATGCTATATGTTAGCCTTGCTTCTAAGCTAAAAAGCCGAGTTATAAAGCTCTTAACTATCTCAGTTGGTATAAGCAAGAGATCTAAAAAAGAAGTTTTTATTGTTGCTAGCTTCTGTTGTCCTATGGAGTTACAATGCCAGTTATGACACACTGATAACAGGCCTAGAGCCACATTGCTGTACTAATGAATTTATATTTCTGAACGATTTAAACTGTGGTCTTGAGCCTCATCATCAGATTTTTAGTTATAGATTACTTAATTGTATTAGGGAAATGTCATGTTATATTTACTTTTGGATAAAACTTGCATTTGATGCATAATAATTCAGTAAGGCTTAAATATGTTAATTTGTCCTTGTTTAGAAGTTAAGCACCTTATCAAGTTATTAATTTAAGTTTTAAAATCTTGTTTTATAACTTTGTAACTCAAGAGTAATGGATGCTGTAGTGATGTCTTTCACATATGTGAAGATGAACAATAAAATTGTTTATTTACAAGTAATGGCTCTAATTACTTTCCTGGCAACACCTTTTATGTAAGTTTAGGAATACTTTCTATTCTGGAGTTCTTTTTCAAATAATAGATCTACTTGCACACGTTTATAGCGAAGAAATTCAAGAGTAGAAAATGAAAGTTGAATGAATGGGACCCTTACACAAGGCCTTTTAAGTCAGATAGATGCCTAGCATGCCATCTGTAGAATATTCAGTGATGCCATATTTACTATCAAATATGTAATTTCCCCTGCCAAAATCTGAGTACCTTTTATTTTAATGGGAACAAAATTATTAAGTTATTTGGCCCCAGACAGTGATCTTTCATATTCTAGAAAAATGAAGATTACAGATTTGATGAACATCACCTTTCTCCATATGTGGAAGTTAAACGATTTCTTGGGGACAGGCATGTTATTAATAGGGCTAGCAATTTTATTCTTTATAGTGGCTTGCCATATATCAGTTTTTAAAAGTCTGTATCTCATGGTTTGCTGTGAGATATCAGGAAGAAAACCAATGTAGGCATCCCAGTTGGATGCACAGCAGAATGTGCATCCAATGTGGCTGCTTTCTGTTGTCTTTAACAATAGATAGATTCACACATACTTTTACATGTTCAGGGAACTTTACTGCCACATGAATAAAATGTTCTTTATGAAAGAACTGACAAAGTTCTAAGTTTTTTTTAAAGTGTCAGTTGGCAGGAATAAGGTAAAAACTCATCTAAGACTGCGACGTATTTTGTTTTTAAATCCAATGTTTTAACTTACACTTTATCTCTTTTTTGTTATTGTTGTAGTTGTTACTTGTTCTGTATTGTTTTTTAGTCTTTTTAACTCTCTACTGCTGTTGGCTGTGATTTCATGACGCATTTTGCTTATGAAAATCTAGCTTTCAGCACTAAAATGAGTTAAAGATAATGTTTTGTTAATTTGGTCATTGTTTTCTTGTTGAGATCTTTCTTTAAAGGGAAATTGTCTACTGAGACAGCCACACACTTGATGAGAGAGATTATAAAAACTCTTCTAAAAGGCAGAAATTTACATATATTCTTTCGGTGCTCAAAAATGTAAAATACTTTTTTTTGTTTTAATATAACCATTGACAATTGCAGTTTGAGAAGAGAGAAGTTTCAAATTAATACTAAAATGTTTGTCCAATAGGATGGATATTTAATATTAGAAGAATTTCATGGACATTAAAAATATAAATTCATAGTTGACAGTATCCCTTTAAAGACAGCCAATTCAATTTTTAGTTAATAATTCGTGGGGTTCTTTTTGGTTTTTCATTTGTAATAGAAATGTTATATGTTGCTTAACAATGTTTTGGATACTAAAGTTGCTTAACAATCAAAAATAGAATACAAGAAGAAAAATGAAGAAACCAAAATAAAAATATCAATTTTTTATTATTTATTCAGGCGATTTCACCTAAACCTCAAAGTCAGAAAAAAAATGAAGCTGTCATTAGCAGTTCTGCCAACACTCAGAAACCTGCACTGTTATCCTCAACTTTGTCTTCAGGGAAGGCTCGCAGCAAGAAATGCAAACATGAATCTGGAGAGTCTTCTGGGTGTATAAAAACCCCTAAGTCACCACTTGCCCCAGAATTAATACAAGCCAAGGATTTGACGCTTGTATCTCAGCTTTCTTCAGTGATAAATAAAACTAGTGAGCACAGACTTTACAAATAGTTACTTATCCTGTAAGATAGATTCAAAACAGTTTTGTTGTAGTTATATTGTTTTGTTTTGTTTTTACGAAGTTGCTCTTTAAAACCTCAAAAGTTAAGTGGATATGACAGAGAAAGTTTAAAACTATTTCAAGAGTAGATCATGGCATTTCTTATGCTTTACCACTCCAAGTCTGTACTGCTCGTTAAGAAGTCCTGCTATGGAATGACACAAATCCCACTGTAGTTTTACTCTCCTCAGCAAATAATACAAGGCCTGATTCATTACAAAAAAACAAACAAACAAAATACCCTCAGAAACAAAAAGAACTATAGAAAGACCCTTGGTTGATGTTTTCATGTGACTCCTCATTCCTCTTGTGGTCAGGAAGGAGGTATCTCCTTTCATTTGTAGCCCTCTTAGTGCATTTTATTAATTTATTCTTGTTATGTTAACAAGGCATCCATGAATCCAATCTTATACTTATTGGAAGGAGAATGCCTCCTTATTATAATATTTGACTGCTGTAGTACTAATCTTTCAATTGTTAGTCTTTTGAAAATAGTTTCATTTTTTCAACATGGATTTGACTAGATAAAAGATAAGGTTTATGTTTACCCCAAGATTAGTATTTGAAACAATTATCTAGAGTATCTTTAGTCAGGTGACACTTGCCTTTTGCTACGTTACTCAATAAATAAATCAGTCTTGTATCAGAAAATAAGGATGACACATATCCTTATGAACCAGAATAATGATACTGGCATTTGGAAGACTTTATCAAACATACTAACCAGTTTTTCAGTCAGTTCTCATATTTACTACATACCTCAAATTTTAATAAATCTTTAATTTTTTTTAATAATAATGCAGAAACAAAGGAAATAGAAAATTCTTTTCTCAGCTGGGCATGGTGGTGCATACCTGTAATCTCAGCACTTGGGGACGCAGAACGAGGCAGATCACTTTGAGTTTGAGGACAGTCTGGTCTACAAAGTGAGTCTAAGACATCCAAAGCTACACAGAAAAACTCTGACTCAAAGAACAAACAAACAAAAAAGACAAAAAGAAAATTCTTTTCTCTGAAACTTCATTAAGAAAGAACATCACTAGTAGTCATTAGATTATCACATGACACCAATAAACATTTTATTTTGAAGTTGTTTTATATATTGATACCATATTATCATAAAAGTTAGTTTGTCTTTTGGGTTTCCCCCATTATTATCATCTTTTTTTTTCATTATTTTTCATTGTTGATTATCCTTAAATACCCAAAACATCAGCTCCTTTAAACTACTTCTTTCTAAATTTGCAGTGAGGTATTATGTAATCCTACCTACTGTAGAATTGATCAAATTCATAGTCCACAAAGAACTCTCAAGCATTAAAAAATTGTTCAAACATTTGTGTTTACATTTCTAAAAAACAAATTAAAGATACAATTAGTTCTTTAAACTAATGAAAATGTTTAAGGGCAAGAATACTGTCATACTAATTAATATCTAAGTTAGCTATAATAAGCACATTGGTTTGTTTGTGTTCAATTTTTTGAATGAATCAGGCCCCGGGTTTATATCTATAAGAGTCCATGTGGGAGACTGAGGATGGGTTAGGTTGTTTGCAGTAGTTTCTTTGCTTGGGGAAAGAAAGCAAAGCACCAACTGTACAATGTGTGTAAGAGCCATCCCATGTGCCCCTACCTTACTTTCCCTTTAGAGTGCCTAGGTTTGCTATGGAGTGAAAGATTTTCTGTCTCAGCTCCCTCCCCTTCTCCCTGTACCTGCTTTCCCTTTTTTGCTTATAAAGAGACTACTTTCCTGGAGGCAAAATGGTAATTGACATAAGAATCCACAGTTAGAGAGCTAACTGCACTCTCACAGTTGGGGAGAGCTACAGGAAATTAATGTTCCCTGTTATTGTACTTGAGTTCTAGAAGGTTTTAGATATTTAGTTTTGATTAACTCTTTTTTTAAGAAGGCACTTTTTTTTTCCCTTTGATTGCCTCTGGAACATGCCATTTCTTGTGTTTAATAGCATCAGAGTGCAAAATATGGCTCATTTTCCCCCTGCTTATCTCCTTAAATATTATAAGATGATACTGGTATGTATCTGCTTCGTGAACATTGAAGATCTTTTTCTAGGTCCTCCACAGCCTGTGAATCCCCCTAGACCTTGCAAGCATAGTGAGCGGAGAAGAAGATCTCAGCGGTTAGCCACCTTACCCATGCCTGATGATTCTCTAGAAAAGCTTTCTTCCTCTTCAGCCACTGATGGGAAAATATTCTCTATCAGTTCTCAGAATCAGCAAGAGTCTTCAGTACCAGAGGGTAATGTATATTGATTTCCTATAGAACCAAATTTAAAGGAAGATAACTAACGACAATTATTTGAATATTAAGTTTTCTTCTTATGTCTCTTGATTTATAAGCACTTCGTATATTCTAGACACCTATCTGGTACCTCTTTGTCAGGCACTGTGTAAATACCAGTGATCTACACTGATATGAACTGAGCTAGTTTCTCTATGTTAAAATTAAGATTTTCTTTTTAAATCTTATATAGTGCCCGGTATTGCATGTGTGCCACTCCAGAAGTTGGGATCCTGTCTCCCTCTTGATTTAAGTTGTGGTTCAGAAGTCATAGCACCTCGAGCCCCAGATTCCTCCGTTTCTGGTGGTGAATGTTCCAGGGAAGAAAAGGAGACACCTTTGTTTGCAAATACCTCCTCTAAAGTAGTGAGCGATATAAAAGGAGCTACAGCAATCACTGGTAAGGAAGCTCTCAGTTAAGTCTGGTATAAATATTTTGATATTTAACTCCACAAGGATATAAAATCCTTGTAAGAACTTTTAGGTAATTTTGTTTTTGTATGGAACTTCCCTGTTTTGTGATTCTTTTGTGTTACCATTTTCAGCATTTCCTGGACATACTACTTGTCATTTTTTTTCTTCCTCTTTCTTTTGCATTTTTAATGTGTGTGTAATATGTGGTATTGTTGCACCTGGAGCTAGCAAATTCCAGCTACCCATCTGGGTCAGCATAGCAAGTTTTAGACCAACTAGGGGCTACATAGCAGGATCCTGTTTCAAAACAACAACAATAAGTAAAATATATGAAATGTTTATTTTTTAATTTTTATTTTTTTACATTAATTACATTTTATTCTCTTGGTATCCGAGCTGTAGCCCCATCCCTCATTCCCTCCCAATTCCACCCTCCTTCCCTCATCTCCTCCCATACCCCTCTCCAACTCCATTGTTAGGGGAGGTCCACCTCCCCTTCCATCTGACCCTAGCTTATCAGGTCTCATCAGGACTGGCTGCAATGTCCTCCTCTGTGGCCTGGCAAGGATGCTCCTCCCTCCCGGGGCGGGGAGTGGTGGTCAAAGAGCCAGCCACTGAGTTCATGCCAGAGACAGTCCCTCTTCCCCTTACTAGGGAACCCACTTGGATGCTGAGCAGCCATGGGCTACATCTGAGCGACAGTTCTAGGTTATATCCATGAATGTATGTTGGTTGGAGTATCAACCTCAGAAAATACCTCTGAGCCCAGATATTTTGGTTCTGTTGCTCAACTTGTGGAGCTCCTGTACTCTCCAGGTCTTACTAACTACCTCTTCTTTCATATGATTTCCTGTACTCTACCCAAAGTTTGGTTATGAGTCTCAGCATCTGCTTTGATACACTGCTAGGCAGAGTCTTTCAGAGACCCTCTGTGGTAGGCTCCTGCCCTGTTTCCTGTTTTCTCTTTCTTCCAATGTCCATCCCCTTTGGCTTTCTAAGTGAGGATTGATCCTCTTACCCCAGGTCCTCCTTCTTGTTTAGCTTCTTTAGGTATACAGATTTTAGTATGTTTATCCTATCTTATAGGTCTAGTATCTACATATAAATGAGTATATAACGTGTGTGTCTGTTGGCTTCTGGTATACCTCACTCAGAATGATCTTTTCTAGATCTCACCATTTGTTTGCAGATTTCATGATTTCCTTGTTTTTAATTGCTGAGTAGTATGTGTGAGGAAAAAAAATTAAAAATTAAAAAGCATGCTTATTTTTGATACTAGAAATTATTAATGTTAAATATAATTACAGAAAATCTTATTCTTGAAGCAAAAAGATAATATGGGGGGGTCAGTTCTTAGGTTTAGAGACTTCAGTGAAAATTAAATCTAAATAGTATTTCTTTTTTTATGAAAACTTTTGTGTTAATTTATTTTTAAATTTTAATTTTTTTCTTCACAGTTTATTCATTATATATCCTGATTGATGCCCCTCCCTCAACTCTGCCCAGTCCCACTTTCCCTCCCTTTTCCCTTCATTTCTTTCCCTAGTCCACTGAAAAGGGGGGTTCTCCACTATTGTCATCTGCCCATAGCTTGGTAAGTCTCAGCAGGACTGCCTGGGTCCTCTTCCTCAGTGGCCTGGCAAGGCCGCATCATCAGGGGTGAGTGATCAGAGAGCAGTCAACTAAGTTTATGATAGAGATAGCCACTGCTCCCCTCACTCAGTGATCCACATGGCGACTGAGCTGCAAATAGGCCACATCTGAGCAGAGAGTCTAGGTCCTTTCCATGCATGATCCTCTGTTGTTTCATCAGTCTCTGCAGGACACCCTGAGCTCAGATCTTTTAGCTTTTCTTGTGGGGCTCATGTCCCCTCCATGTCCCTCTATTCCCACTCCTCCCTTCTTCCTTGGAGTTGGTATTTATGTTTTGTTTCTTTGAAACAGGATTTCACTATGTCCATAGCCTAGGTAGTCTGGAACATAAAAACCCAGACTGGTTTGGAAGTCTTGATTTTCTTGCCTTATCTTCCAGTGCTGAGATTGTAGGTGTGTGCCATCATATTGGATTTGTTAATATTTTGTTACCTAACTGTTCTGTACTATTTTGAAGTTATTTGGGGCTTCTGATTAATTCCTATGTTGATGTATATCGAGATTTTTTTGTTTGTTTGTTTATTCGTTATATACCTGTGTAACTAAGTGTGTGTGTTTGTCCGTTTGGTGGGTGTTTATCATAACTATAAAAATAAATTGTTTCCATTTTAAAACTTCTTTAGAAAGCATTATTTACAAAGACTGTATTAGCAGCTTTTTAAACTTAAAACTGCTAGGTACTTTAGCCTGATAAGAATATTAGTTAACTGAGAAGTAGTTTAGCAAGCTTAGGACTCTTAACAGGTTAAACTTTGCTTTTAATTGTGTTTCCAATAGAGATTATGGGCTTGCACTAATTGAGCTACATTCTTCCACTGGGATGGATGCCAGCATGGTGACATGAAGGTTTGGAATACTGTTGCTGCCCACTTTAGCAATAAGTAAAAATAAAAGGAAAAGGAAAGAAATGGTACATTTCTAAAAGTTAAAAAAAAAACCCAACACCTTTGTTTTTTGTGTTATTGTCAGAATGTTTTTTCTAACAGCCAATGAATCAAAGGAAGAGACACAGCTTAAGAAATCTCTTATTCTCTAGGAGGCAGAATAGATCAAGTTTATTAAAAAGGATCTTTTTCAAAAGAAACTTTTTCTGACCCGGACCTGAGAATGTCTGTGTCTTGTGTAAGTCCTGCCATAAATGTAAAGGACACAGAGTGCTGAGATATAGAATCTACGCAGGAAGCTCAGCATCTAAAAGGAAATCAGGCTAGTCGCTGAACTAGACAAATAAAGGAGAGTTACTTATTACAAGATGTAGAATCCATAAGAGGTATAAAGTGGGGCAAGAAAAGATAGCTCAGTGTGTAGAGGTGCTTCCTGCACCTGAGAACCTGAGTTCCAGTCCCCTGACTCACATGGAGAAAAGAAGGATCTGACTGCATCCAGTAAATTGTCCTTGGACCTCCACAAGCACCATAGCACACATGTACACCTGTACACAAAAAAGATAGACAGATGAATAAACAAGCAGAGAAATAAATTGTTTAAAATTTTTTGAAAGTTTGAAAAAGAGATGAAATATATTGTTGTAATCAAGGGAAGAAAATGGAAAATGCGGTCCTCAGGAGGCCTCAGGCAGAGAACATGTGCTCTTAGCTAAGACAGCAAAAAAACCATCTGCTTGCCCTCTGTTCTTATTTTCTTTCAACAAAATTTAAATAGACTACTTCCTTCACACTCGAATTTTTTTATTTTCATAATGGGAATTTTATAGTAGGTAGTGTTTGTGGTCACTTCCAGATCTAAAGTGTTATTTGTTTGTTTATTGTGTCATTCTTTTTGCTCTTGGGAACAAGCAAAAGAAACTTATTCTAAGTACTACCATTTTATTTTCAGAGACCATTTAATCATAGAGAGAAGCTAAGTTCAAGGTCCCATGCCCTAGGGTTGCTGGGAACTTCCCAATAGCTGAATAGCTTCTGTTGTAAGGAGACAGTGGTCAGAGTCCAGCCATCTCAGGCACAACTTGTAATGAGACAATTGTCTTTGAGTCCAGCCATTTCAAGGACATCTTTATCTTGCTGGAAGGGTCAACTAAGTCCATGTTCTTCGGGCTGTGAGCTTACTCCTATTCTTAATTGATGGAAACCCCCTTGCTCATCCCCTTTTGTCAACTATGATTGGACAGTGCTATAGCCCATCCTGCTCCCCTTTGCTTTATGGTTTCATCCTTTAAATATGCTACACAATGTCCCTTCAGCATCATAGTTCAGCTCCTGAGTCTATTTTGCAGCCCTGATGGATGAATAGTGGTGCAATTACAAAAGAAAATTTGTCACATGCATTGACCTGGTGTTTGAGTTATGTTGGATTTAAGTGAACCCTACAATAATGCATTTTAAAAAGGCAAAATTCATAGAAAAGAAAAATTATGACTGCATCAGCTTTCAATTGTAATTTTAAATAATTTTAGAAATGGTAACTATTCTTAGTAGCCTCCATTAATACAAAATTGAAATTAGTTGGAATAGTATGAATATAATTCTAAACATTTTTAGTTAGTCCTGTGTTGGAAGGCTCATCATAATATACATTTATTTTCATATTTTTGAGCAAGTCAGTATGAAAATATCAAGGAATATTTGTTTTATTGCAGAATATTTTAGTTAATGTAGATACAAATATTGGATTGATAACATATGAGTACTTTATAATATCAGAATCAATATTAGCAGGCCATTCAATTTTTGGTAAATTTATATTAGTTTTCGATGAAATTCAATGTGATTTCTTGAATTTTTTAAATACAATTTTAAATGAAATATAGAAATAATAAACATGAAAATGCATTGATTGTCATAGTTAAGAAAGAAGGGCTCTGGTGAGTTCTTTGTAATGAGTACAGGGATTACATTATCTGGTTAATATAGTAGGTGTTATCATCAAGGAAGCCAGAGATGGGTGTTAAGCGACTCTAAATGGGGGCATCAATTAGCTCTAACCGCTCTGACTGTAGCCACCTTTCAGATGGAATTCGTTCCTATACTATATTTGATGTTGACAGCCTGTTGATTGTTTAACAGCCTTTTAAAGTTACTTTTGAATTTACTTTCCAGAGCTGTTCAAAACAAAGATGTAAGTCTTATTTTCTGTCACTTACTTCAACTCTCCCCTCCACACACCACACACACGCATGCACACACACACACACACACACACACACACACACACAAACACACAATGTTCATAGCTTTTCAGGAGCTAGGCTTTCTATAGTCTCTAGGATTGTGTCTCAGTGCTCCCCACTCTGCTGTTGTGTGTAGCACAGTGATCAGGATTCTACTTTTCTTACTGGAGTTGGGATAGCCCTTTGCTTTTGTTTTTGTATTACAATGGCTCTAAAAATTTATTTGAAGAAAATAGCCTCTTGAGAAAATTTAAAGATCACTGTCCTTTATACTAATATCCTAATATTTAGGAGATGGTAACACATGATGAAATAATAACAATCGCATCTTTTACCCAGTTGTATTCTTTTGTTTTTTGGGTTCTAGAAAAGATGTTTTGTTTTTCTATTTGTATGTACTTCTAAAAATTTCACCAGTGTTACACTTCTGTGTGTTCATTTGAAAGTGCTTGCTTGTATAAAATGTTGGCAACCCCTTGTCAGGTTCCCAGTTTTGCTTTGAAAGTGACCACCTGTGAAGTCTTAGGCAGGAAGCCAGTGTGCTCAGAGCTTGCTTTCCTAGAACCACTCAGAATGGCAGTGTGTTTTGCTGTGCCATTCCCTGGTCTTCAGTGCTGGCCTACTACCTTTATTATCTCCTCTTTACCTACGTGAACTCCTTGAATATAGCCAATTTGATGGTTTTTTTGACACCCCTTCCTCACCTTAAGTGGTCTCAAGTCTGGAGCCCTCTAGAGACAGAAGCATTATTAACTTCCCTTCTGCTTGTTACACAGCAAGGCCTAAGCAGCATTTTCTGTTTGTTTGATTTGTAAAGGCTTTCTTAGTTTTAAGAAAACCACATTACATATGCAGTTTCCATGGTCCAGTAGTCAGCAACAAGAAGTAATGAGTTGTTCAATCATCTTGATAAATGAGGAAATATGACTTTGTTTGTCTTTGCTGTGTGGTCTCTTTCATTCTTTCTGTCACAATTAGTATGATTATCAATATTCTTAATAATCTGATACTTTCTAGGGCCTTGTTAACATGTAACTTAAGGGATGTTTTTAGAGTTTTATGTTTAAACTATATAAGGTATTTGAATAAAATATAAAATATTTGACATGGTTGATATGAATTGATTTTTAAAAATCAAGAAGAAACCTAATAAATAGAATATAATAAAAACATATTTTTATACTTCAGCATTTTTCCTAGATTAACTTGAGGTACAAATAAGACATTGAAAAATGTTAGCATTGAGAAATGTTGAACAGAATTGTGAAGCTTTGTTAAGGGAATCTGTTTTGTTTTAGCTACAGTTAGTAAGGTATAGTGTTTGCCAGTATAATTTAGACTATTAGGTAATACATGTCATTAACATGGTATACTTTTATTTGTATTTGAACCTTTGCATTTCACATTTTATAGTCCAAATATAATTGTTAAAATAGTCCTGTTGGGTTCTTTTTGTTACCTAGCAATAAGGGATTCATGCAATGATATAAATGTGATAGAATTCACATATTTAACTTGATTTTAGGGAACAATAGGCCAAATATCACCCTATATTTTGTTGAAATAAGTTATTTGTTATTGAAAACAAGTCTACTTTGCCATAAATTTGAATATTTAATTTGGATGCTCTGAATAGTATTTGTGTCTATGTGGTCATAGAAACAGAAGTGGTATATGGCCAGCCATTCAAAGGCTTTCATTGCCTTCTGTATTGTCTAAGGTTATGGTGCAGAATCAGCTTTTAATGATGGCCAAGAGCCTTTACTTAACTTCTTTTTATGGTTAGGGCCCAACTTTGCTATCAGAAATAGTGTGGGTAATTTCTCATGCCAAAATACAAAGTAAAACAGCACACTTACCAGGCACTGGCCTAAGCATTTACATACTCTGTCTCGTACACTCTTGTAAGAACAGTGGTAGGTACTCTTACTCATATTGACAATAAGGAAACAAAAGTACAAAGGCATTAAACCACATACTCAATTCATACAAGTAATAAACCGTGGAGTCCAAGAATCCAATGCAGATGGTATGAAGGAGCACTAAAATTCCTTGAATAAGTTTTGGTTACTAGTTCAGATAATAAAATTGTACAGACCTTTTGGATGTAGGGGAGGATTCCTATTTAAAGTTTTGAAAACAATTGTAATTTTAAAAACTGTCATATTGTTGTCTTTCTTACTAAACTTACATCTTATCCCCCTACCCCACAGGAATATTGAAAACAGAAAAAAAAGTGAAATTGGAAGAAAAAAGCTCTACTGCCTTTGGTATGGACAGAAAGTAATCTTTAAGCAAAAGACTAGAAAGCTTGACAGAAAGGACAGCACCTGCTCTTCCCTTCCTTTGCTAGGGCTCCTTCAGGTGCCAAGGTCATCTGCTTCTGTGCTCAGCAGTTAGCTTTAGAGGCACCTGTTCTCCAGTGCAGAGCTTGTACTTATATATATTCTGTGGGGATTCTCTGGATTTCTTGAGTACTTTGCTTCTGAACATTTCTAATTAAAACTATGGATAGATTTTTAAAAATAAGCCTCCATCTGATATTATTGAGACTTAGAGTAATGCGTAATATGTTAAAATAGTTGTTCTTTCCATACATTCTTCTTCAGTTTGCCTTATTAAAAGGTTACTGACTTTCACTGTCTTTTCTACGATATGTTTAGTAATGACTAAAAGTCACGAAATGATGGGTGGCAATAGGAATATTATTTAGGTTAGCTAAACGGAGTCATGAAAATTGGCTTAATATAATTGGAAAATTGTGGGATAACCCATTCTTAGCTAAAAATAAAATAGCTTCTTGAAAATCTGTTCAGTTTTGAGTTGAGATACAATGTTTTAATTTACTGTTTTAAAGCATGTACTTATCTTTTTAAAGTAAATATTACTAAATAATGCTTTTTGGATTTTTGGAAATTATAGAATGAAGTATCTTTTTTCTTTCTTGTTCTTTTTATTCTTGTATGCACAGTAAAGGTATTTAAATACAGGAAGATTGTGTATAGATTAGTTTCATTAATTTTGTTTTTCTTTTCTGAAGGAAAAAAAAGCCATCCATCTTTTTAAACTTTCTAAAACATTATTAAATTATATATAGAAATGCTTATTCTCCATAGTGAGGGTTTTTTTTTTTAATTATGGAATTTAACTTCTTGGCACATAGTAGGAATTTAGTCTATTACGCATTTAAAGATTTTAACTACTGTCTGTGTTAACTTTAAGGTGTCAGGAGTTGGGATTTTTCAACACTGCTAATGAAGATCCCCTCTTATAGTCCAATAAGCTAAGCAAGAGTTCCAGACTCATGACACGAACAGTTTAATTGAATCCGTCCACTCTGGGCAGGTGACTGGAATCACTGATGAAAACATAAATGCTGCTTTGAGGGTAACCACAAAGGAGCAACTAAGAATCATTCACCATTATTGAAGGATTTGCTTTTGTTTATTTTAGGTAAAAGGAAAGAAAAGGATAAGGAGAGAAAAGAGAAGAGAGACAAAGATCACTACAAATCAAAGCAGAAGAAAAAGAAGAAGAAAAAAAAGAAATCTAAACAACATGGTGAGTATCCTGAGATCTGTTTTATAGTTTTTTAAGATTGTCCAATTTCCTTTTTCCCACCAAAATAGAGGTATGGCAAGATCATCATGTTGTTGAGAACTGAAACATTCTTGAAACTTTCCTTTATTGCGTCATTTCAAAAACACACAACTCTGCTCTATAAATGAAGTTGCAAACTGGTTAGAGACTTTTTTCTCCAGCATTATGGTAAAGTAAGTACTGTAACCACAAACCCTTTAACATGATGAAAGTGGGTTTTTTCCCCCACTGTGTATTTGTATATTTGTACGTGGTCTTTTTTTCTTTCCCTTCTGTGGTGTATGTGTGTGTGTCTGTGTGTCCGTGCACAGTAATATATATGTATATGTGCTTGCCTGTCCTTGCATGTATGAATACCAGAGGTCAACATGGTGTCTTCCTCTATAGTTCTCTTATTTTTCGAGAGAGACTCCTTTACTAAACGTGTAACCAAAGCTTATCATTTAACATAAACTAGCTGTCCAAGTATCCTCTGGAATCTTCTTGTCACTGCTCCCCAGGCACTGGATTTGCAGACATACTCTATGACACCAAGATTTTATATGGGTGCTGGGTCTTTATGTTTGATCAGCAAGCTATGCCCACAGCCAAAGTAAAGGGGTAATTTTAAACCCACCACTGTAATGTCTTTTATCTCACTTTGTATGATAAGAGAAAAGATACTTTTTTAAAACCAACGGAATTAGATACCAGCGGAATAAAAGAAACTCTAGAAGATGTACTTAAAAGCATAATGAAAATGATGACGTAAGGAAGGTGTGAGATGCAGAAGAGAGGACAGCACACTGTAGATATGTGATCAATCAAAACATCGATCTTAAAAAACAATTTGTAGGAATAAGAAAGCAAAGTAATAGAAACTGAAATACACAGTACTAGTTTTTATATTATGAGGTAAATAATTATAGTTCATTACTTTGACTTCCTTGTATGATTACTTGTAGGTTCTAAGAAGTTCAATTTGCATGTTCAGACTTCTAAGCCAGAAATGGTGGCTCACACCTGTAGTCCCAGAACTCAGGAGGATGAGGCAGGAGGATTTACACAAGTTTGAGGTCAGTCTGGGCTACATAGTAAGTTCTAGAACATTGATATAATACCCTGCCTATGAAAACATAAAATTACATAAAAATATTTCTAATATAAACACCAAAGAATAGTAGAATAGAATATAATTTTCTAAACAAGAAGGGAAAGAATATATTAAATGAATCATCTACATCCAAAGAAGGCAATTTGACTGAAAATTAGAAAACAATAAACTGTAAGTAAGGTGTTAGAAATAAATATATCATTAATTATACATTCAACATATAAGAACGAGTAGCAGGACTGAGGTGTTGTCTTAGTCCATACACTTCTTCCAAGTATAAAGACCTAAGTTTATTCCCAGAGTGCACATAAAAAGTCCAGATCTAGTAGCACACACTTGTAATCCCAGCACTGGAAAAGCACACAGGAGGATCCCTGGGGCTTGCTGACCAGCCAGCCATTCTGGCTGAATTGGTGAGTTCCAGGAGAGACCCTCTCTCAAAGGAAATAGTTATTATTCCTGAAGATGCCACCCACGGTTGTCCACTGGTCTTCTCATGCACATGTGTGCACCCAGATATACAACTACATGACCCGTTTACAAATGAGTGGGTAGCACATGTATGTTGCTCAACTTTACTATAATACCTGAAGAACCACCTTAAAGGAGAAAAGGATTGTTTAGCTCACAGTTTCAGAAGTTTTGTTGTACAGCTATATTGCTTTATAGCCTTTTGTTAAATAGAACCCTATGGCTAAGAGTATAGAGCCAGCTGTGGCTGGCAGCCAAGAAGAAAGGAAGAGAGAAGATGTTGAAGATAAGATATACCCTTCAAGAATATACCTCAGAGACCTGCCTTCTCCAGTAGCCCATTGGTAGTGTGTTTTAAGTGAGGCCTCTTTTTTTATTTTTTAATTCATTTATCAGTGCAGTTAGGGCCTTCTTCATGAAGCAGTTACATCCCAGAGGTCCACCTTAGAGCTTCTGAATGCCAGTGCATTGGAAAGCAAGCCTTTAATGTGTGCATTTGGAAGGGACATTTAAGATGCAACCATACAGTAATTTATTTAAAAAATTGAATTATATTATTATGTGTAAATTTTATAGATAGATAGATAGATAGATAGATAGATAGATAGATAGATAGATAGATAGATAGAGAAATGTTGAAAATAAACACATAGGAAAAACTGACAAGCAAATACCAGAAAAATTAGGGTAGATAAACGAATAACAAAACATTATTAATGCTAGAGATAGATTACCATGTATGGTAAAAGTGCAGTTACTTTATAATTTTAGATATAAACTTTAAACATTAGTTTCAGAATGTTGTTACTAAATAATGTTATTATATTTTTGATACTAAATTAAGAAAAGTAAACAGTATTCTGACTGGTGTTATGGCACACATTGATAGCATTTGGGAGGCAGAGGCAGTAGGGTAACTCACTGCAAGTTCTGGGCCAGCCCTCTGTACTTGGGAAGTTCCAGCCAAGCATAGGTACATACCTTGTCTCAGTCACTACTATCACTACCCCCGCCCCATGAAAACAAAGCAAGGAAAACAAAAACATATCCTGTCAGAATATTTTTACCTTTTACCATTTACAGCTTATATAACAGACCTGAACAGGACACCAAACTCAGCAGCTACTGAATGAAGTGCTTGTCATAAGCAGTTCTAATACTGACTGTGTAATACAGCTTAAACAAATCAGAAAAAAAAAAATTAAACATGGGTGTAATGCAGACCTATGATGTTTCTGACCACAGTGGTCCACTAGAACAATTCCATCAAGGTAAATAGAATTGCTCCATTGGTTTAGAAATGATACATCACATTACCCCATAGCTCATGCATCAAAGAACAAACAAAGGGGAAATTTTTTATAATGTTAAGAAAGTGAAAGATTATGGAAATATTAAAAGTCTAAACTCACTAGCGTAGTTTTGTTGTTTGGTTTTTAAGTTTGGGGATGGGGGACAGGCTCTTACTCTGTAGCCTAGGTTGTTTCGAACTCTCCTCTGCCTAAGCCTGAGTGCATAATTTACAAGTATGTACCACCACACTCAGTCCTCAAAATTATACTAATAAGATCAAAATATATTTCTATTAACACAAGTTTATAGCTTAAGGAGGTAGCTCACTTGGTAGAGGGCCTGAGCTCAATCCTCTGAAAAATCCATGTGAAAATTCCAGGTAGTGCAAGCTTGTAATCCTAGTACTGGCAAGGGAGAGAAAGGAGATCTTTGGGACTAGACAAATAGCCTCGCCTGCTTGACAAGTTCCAAGCCAGTATAAGACTCTACTGGAAAAAATAAGAATGAAAAGTGTAGAAACTGCCTGAAGCACAACACCTGTCACTGTACTTTGTGTCTTCCACATGTATTTGAACATACATGTGCAAATCACATTCAAACAAGTATGTGCATGCACACATATAAATAAGGTTTAATAAGCAAGAATGAATGAGAAATAATAAAGATGAACAAAAATTAGTAAGTTAAGCTATTCTAGAATTTTTTTAAAAATTTATTATTATCATTTATTTATTATTATTATTTATTATAATTTGTCAGTTTATTCATTTTGTATCCTGGCTGTGTTCCCTTCCCTTGTCTCTTCCCAATCACAGTCTTCCTCCCTCTTCTCCCTGTATGCCTAGTCCACTGATAGGTGCAGTATTCCTCCCCTTCTATGTGACTTTAGCCTATCAGATCTCATCAGGACTGGTTGCATTGTCTCTCTCTGTGGCCTAGCAATGCTGCACCCCCAGGGGGACATGATCAGAGAGCCTGTCACTGAGTTCATGCCAGAGAAAGCCTCTGTTCCCCTTATTAGGGAACCCACTTGAAGACTGAGTCTATCAGCTATATCTGAGCCTGGGTTTTAGGTCCTTTCCATGCATTGTTCTTAGTTGGGGTATCAGTCTCTGCAAGGACCCCAGGGCTCAGTGTTTTTGGCTTTGTTGGTCTCCTTGTGTAGCTCCTGTCCCCTCCAGGTGTTTCTATCTCCCCCTTCTTTCATAAGATTACCTTCACCCTGCCCAAAGTTTGGCTTTGAGTCTCAGCTTCTGCTTTGATACCTTAATCAGTAGAATCTTTCAGAAGCTGTCTGTAGTAGGTTCCTGTCCTGTTCCCTGTCTTCTCCTGCTTGCAATGTGTATCACATTTGTCCTTTTGAATAAAAGAACTTATGAAGTTAAACACCAACAAAGCAAGTAATCCAATTTAAAAATGGGGTTCAGAGCTAAGCAGAATATTCTCAATAGAGGAATATTGAAAGGCAGAGAAACACTTAAAGAAATGTTTAGCGTCCTTAATCATCAGGGAAATACAAATCAAAACAACACTGAGATTTCACCTTTCACCATTCAGAATGGCAAGATCAAAAACTCAAGTGACAACACATGCTGGAGAGGATGTGGAGAAAGGGGAACCCCACTTCATTGCTGGTGGGAATGTAACCTTGTACAACCACTTTGGAAATCCATTCGGCGCTTTCTTAGAAAATTGAGACTAGTGCTACCTCATATATCCAAAATATACTCAAGTAAACAAGGACAATTGTTCAACCATATTTTTAGCAGCTCTATTCATACTAGCCTGAAGCTGGAAACAACCTAGATGTCCCTCAGCAGAGGAATGGATACAGCAATTGTGGTACATTTACACAATGGAATACTACTCAGATATTAAAAACAAGGAAATCATGAAATTTGTAGGCAAATTTTGGGAACTAAAAAGATCATCTTGAGTGAGGTAACCCAGAAGCAAAAAGACACACATAGTATATACTCACTCATAAGTGGATATTAGCGATATAATATAGAATAAACATACTAAAATGTATACTCCCAAAGAAGCTAAATAAGGAAGACCCTAGGGAAGGTATTCTAGAATTTTTTAGACTGCTCATATAGAT